AGCGGCTCCCTGGGGCGGGGGTCGGTGAGCAGGCGCAGGCTGGCGCTGCGGGCGCGGGGCAGCTCCCGGGGTGCAGTCAGGCTGCGGAGGGCGTGCCCGCTGGCAGGACCGCTGGTCCGGATCACGGCGATGCCACAGCGGCCTTGGCCAGAGCTCAGCGCGAAGATGGTGGCCCCGGACCCAGGAGCCGGGGCGCCGCTGCCCTGGCGCGCGCACGGTCTGGGACAGGAGAGGAGAGAGTGCATCGTGGAGGCTCTGCCGCAGAGCAGGCAGGTAGATCGAGGGTTCGACGGTGGAGAAATGCCCCAAGTGCAAGCAGCTTCTGCGGCTTGGGGGGTGGAGACCGGAGGGCCTGGGGTCAGAGGGTGATCGGATTGAGGACCCTGAGGCCGGGGGACTGCGGCAGGGGGCGGAGTAGATGGGGGCTTGGAAGAACTCGAAAGCTCGGCTCTGCCGCAGGGAACTGAGCGCCCCCAAGCCCCACGGAGAGGACTTGTAGCCCAAGCAACGCCCCCCGCTGACACACCCCTTCCCCGGCCATCCCACCTGCCAGGCCCACGTGCCGCCCGGGCTACCAGCGTCCAGAGCCCCCGCCACATGGATTTCCAGCAGCGACCGGCCCGCCGGCCCAGCCCAGAGGTTGCGAGTCCGGACGGGAGGCCCCGCCCACTCCGCAGCTGGATGGTCAAGTGCTCGAGGATTCGCGGCTGCCATTGGGCCCCTCAAAAGACGGACCGGCCAACCCACTGAAGATCTGCGTTTCTATTGGCTGGTGCCTGTGAAAGAGGCAGGGCCTGCACTTGGGGTTGCAGCGAAATCGTTTCCCCTGGCAACACTAGACGGAATTTTTAAGATCCTAGAGCTGCGGGCATCCGAAATGCCAGAAAGGAGGGGTGGTAGGAACGCGGGCGCTGAGCGGTAGGAATGACAGAGGTGAGAGTTCGAGTCCCGTTTCTCTCTCGAGCTACTCCGTAGCATTAGGTGAAGCAAGAGCATTTCAGAGGCCCAGGGGGACAGTCCCGGCGCTGGGCAAATCCTCTGGGAAGATGTCCACTTGTTTTCCCAGGGCTCCCAGGTTTGCATCCCTTCCCAGCTTTGTCTCCCGCCGCTCCCCGGCCTCCAATGTCCTTCCTCAATTGCCAAATTCATCCTCGGGGCCTGGCTCCAAGGCCGCCTCCCGGAACCCCCAGCACAGCCCTCTCTCCCCCTGGCCCCGGCCTGCTCCTGCGGAGCTGAATGTCGTCTGCCTCGAGACCCGCGCCCCCTCCTCCCCCATCGAAAGCCAGAAACGTGAGTCTCGCGATTACTTTCAGGTTAACTTAGGAGAAACGTGGGATCGTAGCAGAAGGAAGAGCTGACGGTGGAATTCCTGGCACTGGCTGGGCGGGGTCTCGGGGACGCTTTCTCATGGCCAATTCTTCGGTTCTTGGATGGAGCGGGCGGGCAGAGCACCTGCATTTGGGAAAGAATCGATCGGAAAGGCTAGAGTTCTCTTTTCTCCCACGCCCCGCCCTGCTCAGCTTTTAACTTTGTAGAAAAGGGACTAACAATGCACTCGCTGTCTCTGAGCTGCGCCATCTGTCACAAGTATACATCAAGCGTCTACTGTGTGCATCCTGAGAACCAGAATGGGTACCTGCCCTCGCTGGGGTCTCTCTAAGGGAGGAGGCAACTCAGGATGGGCAGGAGTCTGGGTGCCAGACACAATACAGGACGCCCAGTTAAATGTGAATTCCAGATAAACAATGAATAATGCTGTGTCCCATGTAATGTCTGGGACCTACTAAAGATCTATTCGTTTATCTGAAACTCACATTTGTAAAAAGTAATATAAACTGCTCTGGCCTGGTAACCCAGTTGGTTGGAGCCTTGCCCCCCTAGTCCAAGGTTGTGGGTTTTATCCCTGGTCAGGGCATATACAAGAAGCCACCAATGAATGCATAAACGAGTGGAACAGCAAATGGATGTTCCTTCCTCTCTCTCTCATCAATTAAAAAAAACAAACACTAATATAAACGGAGTCACTTTAAAATGGAGCAGAAAAAAAGAAAGAAAACAAACAAAAATTTAAAAAATAATTTAAACTAAAACAAACAAACAAAAAGACAAAAAGCCCGGCTGGTGTTGCTCAGCGGCTGAGTGTTAACTTATGAACCAGGAGGTCGCGGTTTGATCCCCGGGGTGCAGGTTGGATTCCCATTGGGGCGTGCAGGAGACAGGAGATGGCTGATGGATGATTGATTCTCTCTTATCATTGATGTTTCTCTCCCTTTCTCTTCCTCTCTGAAATCAATAAAAAAAAATTTTTTTTTAAAGAGAGAAAAATAAATAAAATGGAGCAGAAGCCGCCATCCCAAAGGAACTGCTTCGCATGTCTTATGCCTCAAACCTTTGGGATGTTAAAACAGGGCAAAACAATCTTTGGACTGGGTCTAAGCAAACGTATTTTCTGAAGAACTATTTGCAAAGATAAGGAAGGTATTATGACTACCGGACTGCAATTTTAAAACATTGTTTAGAGTTAACATCACAGTTATGGGCACCAATAGAAACGCCTTCCTGCTGTCGATGTAATTGTTCGCCTTCTCTTTCTCATCAATACCCATTGCCTTCGTCTCCTAATTGCAACACTGTCTGGACTTCTGCCCTAATCAGCCCATCCCAAATAGCTATTCTTATTGATCTCAAATAAATGAGCTATTCTTTGATCTCAAATAAATGCTTTTTGCTTCTCACTTTGAAAGGCCTTTTATTTTTTAGGAAAACATATCTAACTAACTGGGAGGACTGTGTTTTTATTTGCTAAGCTGCCAACTCGATCCAGTCCTTCCCGAGAGGGTTACATCCTGATGGATGCACGCGTGGACTGAAGGAAGAGGGGGTGAAGGACGTCCTGGGCAGTGTTCTAGGGCAGGGCTGAGGGCTGAGAC